TAGGGTTAAGGGTTTAGGGCTCTTCCTGCTCTGTGCGCCAATGCCTGCGAAGTTCTTCCTGCATCTGCTGGATTCTCTCCTCCTCCCGCTTCTTCTCCTCCGAGGCGGTCCTTCCACTCGAGCGACATTCGCGAAGTCGCGAGAGCCGAGATCTGAGATCTGAGGTGCCGGCTTGAGCTTCTCTCTCAACGCCCCCATCTCCTCGGCTCGCTCAAGTCAGGACTCGGCTAAAAGCGCTCACCCGGGCAGGAAGCCTTTTGATGCTCCTCCAGCTTGCTGAGGTGCTCAGTGACCTGTCACCGTACTTCGAACTCGCTCTACAACTCTGCAATGAACTCTTTTGGTGCCCGCCCCTGTGGCCTCTTGGTGCGCCTGCTGAGCATGCTCCTGACACAGGGCTTGCAGCTCCCTAGCTTCACGATTTTTCCACGACACGGAAGAGGCATTCTTTGGGCAGCCGCCTGGTGGCGTCTAGCAACTTCTTCTTGCTGGTCGCGCTCCTTTTCCAGTGCCTGTGTTTCTGATGTTTCTAGTGCTGTCTGGGACTGCGATCTGTTGCCGAGGCACCACCAAGTTCACAGAACACAAACGGCACTTGCACTTTCAAAGTGCAATCCACACTAGAAAGCTTGCAAGCCAACGCACAGAATCCCAACATGCCCTCAGCAGCCACGAGGTTCCACGCTTGCACTACATCCGAGGCGAAACCAGGTACACAGAACCTTCCGTGCTGTTTTTGTGCCTCGATGTGTTGAGCCTCTCCATGCTGGAACAGCCCCAATCGTCATCCGGCACGTTCTCTTGCCGATCTTACGGACTAGAGATCCTGCGATTCGCTCGGCGTTGAACATCGGGGAAGTCTCACTCTCTAGCTCATGCCGACCCTCACGCTGAAGTTGTCCCTGCCACTGCCGACTCGTTCCGGCATGAGTTTCAACCCGCTTGTCGTGAAGTACAAGATCCTGCATGAAAGGCTGCTAGGCTTGTAGGCTCTGACTCTGGCTGCTATCAAAGTCGTGCTGCTGGGAAAATTTCTAAGAAGTAGAGGAGTTGCTGGCAATGATTCCTGCAGAGACTCAGACTCAAAGTCACAGAAAGCCAAGGGAGCGACTTCGGCCCGCTGCTTGTGCCGCTCGAGCTCTTGCTTCACCTCCTGGTGCCTGTGGCTTCGGTGGCTTCGGTCGCGGGACACGCAGTCCGGGTGGCGCTCTGCCGAGCTTCGCGCTTGTCTGCCAGGTCCTTCGCCCTGTCGGCCTCCTCCTGAACACAAGTACGGGTGACATGTCTTTACTTTCTGCAGGTCTGGAGGCGGACGACGTCTCGCTCCTGCGCCTTGAGGACGCTGGCGCGATGCTTCGTCTCAAGCTCATCAACCTTCAACCTGCAAGGCAACTCTGCCCTTCGCACTCTCAACCGAGAGACACACAGAAAGAAAGAGAGGGAAAGACGGAGGAAGCGGTGAGCCCAAAGCAAACGGGCAGCTCAACCAAGCTGCAGGCTGCAATTCTGTATGGTTGAGCTGGAACTCACGATGCTTGTCCTGAAGGCCAAGAGCAGTGAATCACAAACCACTTTTGACCTAATGTTGTAGAGGTTGCCGATTAGCATGGCTTTTCCTTGGCTTCATCCAGAGCCCGCTGCTGCTCAGAGGTCTTCTCGAGCAGCTCAACCTTGTCGCTTGCATTGATGCAAGAAGCACGCATCTGCTGGTCCTCTATCCATTCGCGTCGACCTCAGACCTTTCAGGCTCGGGCAATCTTCTTCTGTGACTTCAGCTCCGCCTCAACACAGAAACAAAACCAAGGAAAGACATGGACACTCAAACACTCGGGGTCCTCTTCGTGCTGTCGTCGGAGTCGGGACAGCTGTTCCTCCAGGGCCTGGTGCTCTCTGCACGTGTCTGCGGCATCGGCACCGTGTCAGTGTTCGCCCCGCCTTTCGTTCAGACTCCGAGACGCCATCGTCTTTCTCTATGGATGGCTCGAAGTCCTGAGTCTCCGCTCGGTTTCTCTGACTCCTCTATGGGGACCTCCTTCCCGCTCTTTCTGCGCAAGCCCGGCGCATCCAACGCGGCGAAACATTTGCTAACTACACGGGAGTTGGAAGGCCTTTGTGGGCTCCAGCCTGGGATCAGGGACGTTACATCCAAACCTGTTTTTCCGAGAAGCTTCGTTGTGGGCCAGTGCTCCTTCCGCTTCGGGCCAATCAATTTATTCAGATGTGGGTGTTCGGTGTCTGTCGGCCTTCGCAACTACCAGAAGAACTTTGCTTCTGCTTCTCATCAATCTGCTACCTCACGAGCGACAGATCAACTTAGACGTAGGCTGTGGACCTGCCCAGCTTGCTCGCACAATCCGAACAGGTTGGACGAACTCCCAAGGTTGAAATGCTAGGCGGCAGATGCAACCCACATGGCCAGGGATGCATCGCAACAGGTGCAGAAGCATCACCCATAGCAGTACGCACAGGAATCTGCGTGCCTCCTTGGCCTCAGACAACCGGTGAGGGAACTCTGCTTGCCAAAGACATGCAGCTGTTGCTACTCTGTGCGAGCTGTGTTGAACACTTGCCCGGGGCACGAACTTTGAGCGCCGAGAGGTCCAGTGCTGAGAGGGGCGTCTTGGCGACCATTGACCTGTCACAGAGAAACTGTCTTCTCCGCTGCTTCGGGAGGCAAGTCTGGCGGCCTGTCATACCAGCATCCTTCATTGTTGAAGGAATCCTGAGAAAGAGCAGCAAGGAACCCTCTGATGTGACGACTGGCAACGCCACGCAACGTCCTGCCCGGCTTGTGCCACAAAGCCGACTGGCCCAAGGGGGACCCTTCTCGCACAGGTTCCATGGCACGCCTTGTCTGAGAAGCTTTCTAGCCAACAAGCCTACCTCACAACATCACATCGAAAGCTACGCCTGAAACGGCTCTTTTTGGCTTCCCTTGCAGAGCTTGTATTTGTGGCAGCACGCATGTACTCCAATGAGACAAGGCCTTTGTCTCATTGGAGTACATGCGGCACGATGCTGTACATGAGGCTTCACTCGGCATCGGTGGCCTCGTCAGAATGTGCCTCGGCCTATGATTGCAAAGTATCGAGTAAGCTTTGTGCTTTACTCGTGTCGCCTCCGCTCTTGGCCGCTGCTTGCATTGTCACCGCCACCAGTTTCCTGCACCGCCTGGCTGTTCCCCAATCCTTCAGTGCTGCCGGACAACTGCATGTCGGGAAAGTCGAGTGACAACGCAAAGCAGGAAGAAGACGTAACAGAACCGAAATGGCTGCGACACCTCAACGCAAGCTGTATGGCACCAAAGCTGCATCAAGCTACAGTAAGTACTGAGTCACACTACCCGAAAGTTCTTCTACCCTTCATTGCCCTTTGGCCCGCCTTCTGCTCCTGGGGCTGCCTCACGAGGCACTCGCATGGGTGCCTGCCGAGCCTGCTGACACACGGCAGCTGTCACCGCCTGCTGTGCTGCCTGAAGGAGAGCTTGGCTGCGCCTGCGGTCAATGAAAGCCACGTTCCGTGCACAGGTTAGCATGACGCAGCCTGCAGAGCCTGCGGCATGCTGATCGGACCGAAGCCCGCAGAGATCAGGCGATCGCTCATGCGGGCATTCTCCGCCTCGCCACGAAAAGCAATCCGTACGATGAAATTCCGAGCCATTTGAAGACTCTTAGCCCGCTGCACGTAGGGAAGCCTCACTTCCAGATTGCTCGCCATGACAACAAGACGACAAAATACTCCATCGATTACATTCAGAAGATCGTCTCGCCAGCTCTGCCTGTCATGCTCGTGAACTCTGCATTTCTCCATAGATCTCCATAGTGGAATAACTGAACATGTATCTACAGAATCTATTGAACACCAAGAGTCCTTCCTATCACAGCTCAAGTGATAGTACTCCAAGATGCAAAAAACCGGCACTGCTTCCTTCCCGAATCGAAGCTGAGTTCGCAGCCATTTCGTGCAGCTGCTTGACCACCTGCAGCGAGGCTTCACATGCAGGCCCCGTCCAGACATGGCGACTGCAAATATGTCACATTGATGTTGGTTGCTATGCATCACCCTCTGTTCCAAGCCCCTGCTCGCCTCTTCACGCAGCGCGTCATCATTGATTCCAGCTGCCGCATCCTGAACGAGATGCCGTTGTAAAGACTGTTGGCCGTTGCCAGCCAACGGCTTCACGAGTCCTCTGCTTCGGAGCTAGGGTACACTGAATGCCTTGGCGCTCTTGCCTGGCACGTGACTGTCTACGAACATGGAACTAAACCGCGGCCAGCCAAGCTAGCTGGTTCCGCAAATTCACCCTTCTCGAGGCCGTGTCACCATCGCTAATAGCACTCCGAACACATGGCAGGCACACGCGATAGCGTCCCAAGCCGCAAAACCGACAATAGGGAGCATCAGGGGGCAGGCGATTGCCTCAGCAGCGTGAGTTGTGAGGGTTGCTGTCAGAGAAAGCACAGTCTGCAGTGTGCAGCGTGCCCCAGGTAAGTCCGAAAGCACTGCTGAATGGAAGTGGAAAGTACGAAACACCTGCTCCTGCACCAAGGCCTAGCTTGCACCAAAAACGAAGCCTGCACAATCAAGTTTGATGCAATATGATGCAATCATCAGCCAAAACAGCCAGGCCACCGCAGTTGTGGCAGGTAGTTCCGTCGGAAGCCGCCGATTTTGCAGATGCCTGCCGCAAAATCTCCGGAGTCAGGGATCCTGGAACAGGATTTGGTGACCAAGCTCTTGAGGCTTTTGCCGGAACCGTCTCTTTCGGAGATGGTGGGGCGTGCGGGGCGGCCAATGTGGACACTGCGGAGGTCCGAACTTGCATCGGCTTGGCAGTCAGTACGAAGCTGCTGGTACTCTCGTTTCGGGGAAGGCTTTGTGCACTCTTCGCCGTCATCACATTCACAGAGTTGGCGCTTTGGGCTCGAGATGGAAGATTGCTCCCATCTGTACGTCCGCTGCTGCGTCGTGCGACTCCACCAGTGATCGGCTCCGCGGCATTGGCGTTTGGTGCTGCTCGCAGCATGCGAGGAGACAGTGTTGCTGGGATGCAGGAATACACTGCTGGCCCTGTCGAAAGCCGGATGGCAGGATTCCGCACTGGTGGGCAGCCTGATGGCCTCCGCCACACATGGCCTCCAGGAGCACTTCGGCTTCGCAGAACAGCATCACCGACAGCTCGATGTCCGAGATCCGAACACATCTTCAGAGCTTCAGTGCCACAGTCAGCCAGTTCAGAGCAAAGTGAATTCACCCGCTGGCGCAACGCGCCGAGCTGGGGCTGCTCTTTCCGCAGCTGAGCATCCAAGTTGCTGCGAACTGCATGGAGCTCTTTACGCAATCCACCGATCTGCTCTTTAAGATCCACAATGGCTGCCTCTGTGTCGACTCCTTCCGGAGGTGATCCTGCAGGCTTCGTGGAGAGGTCGCATGCGGGATTGTTCGTGACGTCGCGGGGCTCGCTAAGGCAGGCTTGATGGGGTTGCAGCTGCGGCTGCTGTGCCGGTGGCAGCGGCCATGGCTGCACGAGGGAGGATGGACCTGGCGAAGCCGTGCCCGTGCCGCCCGTGCCCTGGCCGTGTGCCCAGCGTGCGGTCACGGGCTCCGAGAGGTAAGCCACAGATCGGCGCCCGGGCCCAGGCACCGTAGCTTGGGCCTGGGGAGCCTGAGCCTGGGGAGCCTGGGGAGCCTGGGCCTGACCAATGATGACGGGTGCAGGCCATCTCCACGAAGCGACAGTCGGCGCATACACTGGCAGCGCACCTACCTGCGACACTGGCACGATCGGCTCAAGGAAGGGTGCTGCCATGTGCCGCCAGTCCGCTCATGTGTCAGCCATGCAGGAACCGAGGAGACTGACTACGTCCAACCTGAATCTTGTTGATACGATGTCGTCTCTCGTTTGGTGTTTACGTCGGAGTGAGCCATCACACTAAGGCTTGTCACCTCTCATTCGGGATGGATGTGCGGCAAGCAGCGACTGGCGTCAGCTGATGAGTCTATAGTCACTTGCACCGACATGACACGACACAGTAAGGTGTGATGCCACCGGCTCCTCCGCATCACGGTCATGCAGGTTCTCAGCTTTTCCCTGCAACCGCAGTGAAAGACCCGCATCAAAACGGCAGAGCAAGAGCACCGCACTTGGCCACATTTTGCGCTAGGAAGCGCCGCCTTGACATGCTTGCTCTTCTTTTCATCTTCCTGACATAAATATCAAATCGACAGAAGATGTTGCACTGCTCTTTCGACAACTATACACTCATGGCCTGCTTTGACTTCAGCTGATTCAAATGCTCGCGGATCTTGTCTTCAATTTCCTTGCGTCTCAGCTGCTGTTTTACAGCGGCTCGTGTTGCAAACGGCCCGCCGCAGCATGCAATCTTGTTATATCTTACGTCACCCGCTCCACGGACCTGAAGTGCCCCTACTGGCGGTTTCCAGCTGGTCCATGCCCCTCCTCTGAAACCGCCTTGCACAAATCCCAACTGCAACAAGTGGGTTTGATACCTCCTGCGTCTTCACACCTTGAGTGCCCCTGCCCTATTGACCTACGATTTGGCTTCACCACGATTCTCGGTGGAAGCCACATTACCCGTGGTTGAGCCTTGGCGGCCTCTTCGTCCGCCTTCTCCTTCTCCTGGGCTCTCCTGGCAGCTGCGTTCCGCACCGAGAGATCCAGAGCCCCAATCAGAATTCGAGTCCTTTGTGATCTGGCTGGATCGGCCCTGTTCAGGACGTCGGCTATGCCCTGCATGTCAGGGCGAACGAAGACTAAACCAGACACGCCTTTAGCCTCCAGAAGCCACTGCCGCAGCTTGTAAAACGGACTACGAAAACCGTCAGGATATGCGAAGCAACCAGGCTCCTTGAACTTGTTGGAAGCTGCGTAACTCGCCGCAGTGTGACCATAGATGTTCTTAAGGTCCTTCGCTCTCACAGTCCAAGCTAGACGCAGGTTCAGGACGTAAAGACGGTAAAGCGTTACAGAAATCATGCCGTGAGAACATACTGTCGTGAAAGCTGTTTCTCACAGCTGCAGCACCCTACCGTCCTTGTTGGGGTTGCTTTTCAGCAACTCCATGACGACTGCAAGATGACCATGATAGGCCGCATAGTGCAGGGCCTCGTCAAGCGGATGATGCTTTTTTTGTGCAGACTCCAGCGTACCAGATGTCACCGAGCCCCTGGACCGTATTGCCATGATCGTCAGCAAGATCGACGGAAATCTGGGCAAGTTTCCGAGGCTTGACCGGTCGAGGTTGCAGCTTGGAACTGCCGTGTGCCAGTACAGAGCTTCAGGCTTTAGGCATCATTCGCAGAGCCGAAACCTGGTGAGCAGCTGAAGGTGCAGCTGATTTTTCGAGGAATTGTACCCGCGAGACCGTATCACAACATTGCGCATCATGGCAAACATGCGCGGGTGGACAATGTCTTTGTATCCTCCACCTGCTGCCTCCATCAGCGGGGTTCGCCCACCTGGCCAGGTTTTGCTGATCACGACACGCTTCCCCTTGCTGCGACATGGACTCTACCTGGTGGCTGCACTTGCGACAAAGCCGAGTCACCGTTGCCCTGGTTGGGCAGCTCTGGATCGGCCCCGGCCCGGAGCAGGGCTGCTGTGCACTGCCGGAAACCCTGAGCAAACAGAGCCGGAAGAGTTTCCCTTCTGCTGAGTCTGGGGATGTGCCTTTGCGGCTGCGTAAATCAAGGCTGTGTTCCCACTGTCATCGCGTGCATCCACCAGGTCCCTGCCAGCACTCACCGCGGGAACGACAGCCATAGGAAGTTGCCACAAAACACAATGACCTGTAACCCAGATCCTCGTTTACGATGAGCTCCTTCACAATCTGGGGATACCTGCACGTGGCATAGCGATGACAAATCACCTGCTGACGCTTGATTTCAGTTCCAGTCGCACCCATCGTTCGTTGCGAAGATCAAAGCCTTTGCTAATATGGCCACAGTCAAGCTCACTGGCTCAGGATCAAACCGTTCTGTCTGACCAACCGCGCTGCACCAATACTGGGAGCCCAACAGCGTCACCGTACTGCTGCACGTAGCTGTTGACATACCTTTTCAAACAAAAGCTTGTGTAAGCCGTCAGAACCATGATATTGATCGAGTTTGCTATGAGGTCAGGGTCTGGGGCTAACCTTTGCGCTGGATCGCTCCTTACCGCCGATGGCTGCTGTTGTCGAGAGGCGGATGAGCTTCATGTGTGTCCCTGTATGTTTCATATGTGACATTGGCCAACGCAGATTTCCTTCTCGAAGGGGGCCCGAGTGTTTGAAATGCGATGCTACGACTCGCATGTGTCACATCCCATCTTCATGCACATCGCCGTTGGGAGACTTGTTGTGTAGGCAAGTACAGACAAAAGAGCTTGCAAGATGGATGCAGTCTCACGGCAATCTTCGAGCTGCAGGGGCACTGAGACACCTGTCCTGCAGGCAGCGTTGCCTCCTGACACAGTGCACTCCGGTGCTCTGGCAATGCTGTCTTGGGGTGCTGCAAGCTCAGGCACCTCTATGGGCTGGCCATGGTTCAGAACCGGCGCCCCTCGAGACATCCTGCAGCGAGGCACACCCGTCACACTCTTGTTGTACGAGGTGTAGGCAAGCGCACCAGCCACCGAACATCCAGGAGAACCAGGAGAATGGAGGGAAGGACCTGATCTTTTGCTGCGGGCTCACGGACTACAGAAATGGTTTGCACCTTGACTGGATCATCTGAATCCACTGCGGCTGACAGGCATCAAGGCTCTAGCAAGATGTAATGAAGCAAGTCATATGCCTGGCTTTTCAACATTGACTGCAGGATCCGCCGCGTCGATTCACAAACTCTGCAACTTCTGCGCCCGGTAAGCGAGCATTCTTTGCCAAGTACAGCGGCCACATCACATCCCACCTCAGGTGCTGTAAGGAAGGCAGCCACCCTGCCGACGTGTCGACTACTCGGCCCAGCACCCGAGAAGCAGCCAACCAAGGAGCCAAACCCCTCCGACTCCCAGTCCGACCTGCAGAAAAAGGGGGGCTCGAAGCATCCAACGGCTTGCTGGAAAGCACCTTCTGCAGAAGCTCTTTGTCCATGGCCATGCCCCTGATCAATAGACTGTGCATGACTATGACACTCTGAGTCTCGCTAAGCTTCTACAGACCCCGTCACCTGTGGCCCTTGGACTTGCCGTCGCCGCCTCCGTGGCCCTTCAGGCGATGTCAGATGTCACGCGAAAGTCGACTCCTGCCACTTGTGCCTCGAACGGTTGGATGATGGGTCGGCCCCCAGAACCTGGCCGCAGGACTCCGACCATTGTTTGGTCCAGGAAACCGCCATGGAGCCACCTGCCATGGAGATGGTCTTGCCATAGCTGTTGCCACCCCCTCAGTCGCCATGAGTCGCCCACAGCCACAGCATCCCAGAACCCCCGCTGAGGCCGAGACCTTCGATGTCAGATGGAACCTCGGGGACGGGATCGGGGACTGGACCCGGGACTGCAAGCTTGAGATGCTCGAGCCGCTCGCTACTTCTGGCGCTGTATGCCGAGGTCGCATGGCTCACGAAGTGCCCGAACCAGAGCTACGTAGAGCTAAGCGGGAGGTCACCCTGGGGTCACATGTCGACTTGAGGCTTAGGCTCCACCAGCTCGAACCGTTGAGAACATGAGTTTCTGAGGCTTTCAGGTAAGTGCTTTCTCAAAACTCCGTGAACCGTGACAGCGCGGATGCAGCTCTGTCCTCCTTGCGGCTTTTCATGAATTTAGCGATGTGCACATTCTGCCGAAAGGGGACAGGCAAGGATAGACCCGTTTTTTGCTGCGCAGGATCGATCCTACCAGTTGCTCGCCTAAAAGGGGTCGGCAGGATCTCACCAGGCTTTGGCGCAATTTGGTGCGTACTCGAGGATCTAGCCATGTTCAACATGGCTCATTGCACACCGCTGTTGGCGGCCGTTGCTGAAGAACCTTAGCTGTGTTTCAGACCACAACCATGGCTGCTGAAGGCGGCTTACATCAAGCGAAGTCTGAGTGCAAGGACCCAGCCCTTAGAAGCAGCAAGTCGATGGCACAAGTCCTTTTGACAGCAAAGAGCAACTGGAGCAGTAAAGTCAGTGAAGCTCGAAGCTCGACATCTGCCTCCACATCCTTCGCGGGAATAATATCTGCAAGGCGACAGTCTATTCCACGCCTCAACCGCGCGAGAAAAGAGATGATACCAAAGGCCCTTGTGCTTGAAAGACAAGCCCCCTAGAGCAACACTGCTATCAAGAGGCAGGATCGGATGGCGTCCTCGTCAAGATAACGAGGTTGCGCGAGCACTCGACACTCTGCACCACTGGCGCTTCCACTCTTAACATACCCGCTAACCCTTGTCGAGCCACCACTCACACTCTTAGGAACTGCTCCGGCCTGTGTTGGCAACCCATCGCATGGCGGCACTCTGCTCGAAAACCTCGGAATCGCAATGGCTCACTGCCAGCCCTGGCACACACGTCGCAGTCAGATGCATGAGGTGAGGCTTGTGTGAGGACCGATCCTGGTCCCCCATTCCTGCAGAGGTAAAGCCAACCAGAAGACCGTTTTCTGAAGTGAAGATTGCTCGCATCGCCACTGGACGTGTCGCGTGGGCCCGAGGCTCGTGGCGCTGTGCAGTTCGTCCGATCAAAAACTTGTCATGACATACGAGGCCCTGATTCATTTCCTAGATCTTGACGTGAAGAATTTCAACGAGGACGGCCGCTTTTCTCTGAGGATGTGCTTCACCAGCAACATGCCTTCAAACTCCTACCTGGCCCCCCCCGCTTGGTACATTGCTTGCATTACCTGACAGCTTGGGTTGTTGTCTTGGAGGGGCCGGACATGCTCATCCATCTCAGTGGCATATTCCGCGAAAGCGCGTGCATACTAAACATCAGGTAATTACGGAGCAAACGACCAGTTTACAAGGCTTAATGCTTTAACTGTAGGCAGAGCTGTAGCGGTGAAGTCAGCAAGGTTGGGCTCGGCAATGTCACCCTCATTGTGCTTCGAAAAGCACCATTTCTTCAGGCATTCAGGCGACGCCACGGAGTCTTCTTCTTGGTTGCTGACCCCACCATAAAGCACCGTGGGCTTCACAAAGAACTGGCCAGTGATAGGACAAAGCCTGATTCGACGGGGCATTTTGCCATGCAGACATTGACCTAGACTCTAGCGCATGCTTCTCGCACCTGAGACGCAGAGCGATCATGCTGTCCTGTGTCATGCAGCTTTTTCACGTCGAAGAAGGCAGCTAGCTCAGCATGCCATGTTCCCGTGAAACATGGGAAGATCCGTGCACTCAGGATATGGTGTTCTGCCCGCGATGTGTGCAAAGGATTCGGAGAACAATGGCACAGAACAAACAATCTAAAGGGCTGCATTCACCGGATCTGCACGGAGGACATCGCTCCACCGACTCAGTCATCGAGAACCGAAGAAGTTGAGGAAAGTGGCTTTCCTGATTGCTCCGCATGCCGATGTTGTCATCGACAATCAACATACTGGCAAAACATAAGAAAACGGAAAGCTGCCTCCAACTCACTCCAAGGTTCATGCTGCTTACATCTACTGGCTGGCTGAGCCATCGGACATCAATAACCTGACCACACGAAGACATTTGGGCAAGTGTCTTCATAGAGAAAGTTGCAAAGCTACTGACTGCCTTCCTCTTGTCTAGTGAATTGAAGTCAAGGACGATCTCAAACTCCGCACCATCCTCAGCAGATCATGACCGACATGCACGATGCCTGGGCCCACTGCCGCATCAATGTGGCCAAGCTGCTTTGAGGCAATTCAGCAGAAAATCTCTGTCATCCTCCACACGGCCAGGTCCTGTGACTTTCCGAAACCATCTGACACTGGTGCGATGCAACTGTACACCGGGACTCGGCACGCCAACACGAATTTTGACAACAACACGCGCTCGGACACATCCCCGCACGCCAACCTCATCGCGGCATCAACTACCCTCAGTTGGCAATCGCACTGCAGCTGTTGTCATGGCATGCCGTGATAGGATGCAGTTTGAACATCTCACAGGTCGGGCTGTTGTTACACCTAATGACTAATACGCTCAACCAGTAGACGTGCCGCCCTCTGCCTATGGTCCCGACCTCAAACCCAGTAAGCGAGAGCTCGTTGGCCGTGTTTCGAGAAAGCCTTCAACCAAGCCTTGCGTCCCAACAGTCCTTTGACGATTGTGAGCCCAGGTGGAACACTTCCTGGACGGCCAGACATGACGGCGGTTTCATACTGACCAAGGTCATGTCGCTGGATACACTGACAACCCAGGCAGCCTGCTGCATCTGGATACCTCAGCTCTCAAATAGGCTCACGAGCGTTGCAGTATCAGAAATAAAGTGTCTATTGGCAGCGCAGCACCGCATGCTTCCGGCACTTGGAACTCGTGCAAATTGCCGTCGCTGCAACTGTGGCTTTGCAAGCCCGGTGGCAGGACCAAATCTGGATCCTCATCCATCATGATTGTGAAGCGCTGATCTTGTTGCCTGGAAGATCTAGCCTTGGTACCCACACGTTCAGGCTTGCGGACAGGGCGCTGAGGAAGCTGAGTCCTTAGCCACTCCTCGCATCACGAATGTCCCCTGCCTGGAAACATGGCATGCTTCCAAGATTAAAGTCAGTCAGCAATGATGCTTGAGTCTGGCCTATCACCTGGAAGCATTTGTTCGGGGCTCCAGTTGTTGAAGCTGCCCAACACGCAGTAGCTGTGGCCTCAGCAGGAAAACTGTAGTGACGACAAATTCACCAACACCGTGGCAAATTGCTTGGAGCGGCACGTGCTGGACCGGTCACCCCGCTGGCTGTCCATCCAGAATCCGGTCTTATTAAGCTTGAAACGCTCACCTTGATAAGAGCATCCACGATCTCAATGCGGAGCCGTACAGACTCTCCATGCTTGCCGGTGATTCTCCAGCACTTTCCATTGCCGAATGCATCGGGCCCTCTGACCGGAATCCCAGTCGCCCCCGCATCAAGAGCGGGCTTGGCGGGATAGATGACCTGCTCCTCGTCTTGATCTCGGACGAAATAGAAGGACTCAGAGCGTGACATACCAATGCGAACTGTGACTTCGAAAGCACCCTCTTTTACACCCGAGCTTTGCATCTCCAAGAAGTTCCAGGACGTCCAAGAACCAACCACGAAGTATCTGTGCCGAGCTTTGGATCCGATGAGCTGAGGAACCGAACCTCCAGTCAGCATAGCATCTGCACGCTGCCAGCTCACACGAAGTCTGAGACCCCACTCCAGGGTGATGCGGAAGGGAGTTCCCGCAGGGACCTCATCATCCCGCCCGTCAATGATCCAGAATTTGCCCTTCCCTTCACCGTGGGGTCCCACGACCCGCGTGGTCATGGAGCCATTCTTGACATAGGGATATATGGTCATCTCAGGATTCTGCATAAGGCACAACTGAAACCTCTCAACACGAGTCTCTCCTAGGACCACCATACAACTCCAGCTGTCACCATCTGTGCTGGGTGTCATCTCCGTTCTTTGCTTGAAGCTATCCCACGACCCAACAATGCCGATCCCACTGTCTGGCCTATCCCCTGCCATCTCTTCCGGAGGGCTCATCTGGAACTTGCCATCGTACAGGCTGCTGTTGTAATCATATTGGTCAAACTCATCGCGAATGTTGTCACAGCGATATCTGCCTCTGTTCCTCGAAATCCTGGAACCTGACGTTGGAACTTCCTTCCCATCGACATAGTGCATGGGGCCTTCGTCGAAGGGACAGCTCACCACCACGTAGTCAACTTTGTCTAGACTAACCTTTCCTGGCTTTCTGGGACCCCTGCTTGCCACGGCATAGACATCAGCACGCGCATTCGCCCCACCGAAGCCAAACGATGAAACCCCTGAGTATCCAGACTGGTTGCCGTACTCTGCGAGCTCAGTGTTGAAAACGGTTGGGTAGCCGTTAACATCCAAATGTGGATTCAGGATGTACAAGTGACAGTTCGGAGATCCGGCACAGGAATTGCACATCAACATGCACTTGATAATGCCAGCTTGTCCCGCATTGGCTTCAAGATGGCCTATGTGGCTCTTGGCACTTGTCTGCATGATGGGAGCCTTCCTGTCCTGCATGACTCCACGCAGAGCTCCGACTTCAATGGGATCCCCCAAAGCCGTACCCGTCCCATGAAGCTCGGAGCAGGTGATCTGATTGGCCGTCAGCCCAGCCTCCCGCATCGATCCCCGCACACATTCTTGCTGTGACGGTCCGTTTGGTGCTGTCATACTCGCACTTCTCCCGTCTTGGTTCAGGCATGCGCCAATCACGGTTGCGATGGCCTCACGGGTGACTGCCTCTTCACTGCGGGCAAAGAAACACGAGGAACCCTCACCACGTTCAAAGCCATCTGCAGACATGTCGAAGGTGAAGCAGCGTCCGCTTATGGACAGCATGTGAGGACCACACAAGTTGATGTAGTTCCCTGGGCCTGGAATCAGGTTTGCACCGCCCATTAATGCTTCCGTGATGCCGGAATCTTGCCCAGCACGAGCCTGCTCTGCAGTCACCTGCCTCAAAGCAGTATGCCCAACTCCATAGGCCACTAGTGCTGATGAGCAGGCTGTGTCCAGCAAAGCCTGTGGTCCCTGGAGGCCCAAGGTGTAACTGATGCGGCCAGCTATGCAGGACCATTTTCTTGCCTGATAGCCGAAGCGATGACCATCCGTGGAGCCCATGGTGAACCTAGGATCTATGGAAAAGTCATCGCCACTGTGTCCGATGTAGACACCGACCCGCTTCCCTCTGATATCCTTCTTCCGCATGCCGGTGTTGAACAAAGCTTCGTAGCTCCTTTCGAGCAGCTGTCGTGCTGCTGGAGCGAGCAACCAGGCTTCCTCCTCGGGGACGTTAAAGAAGTCGTTGTCGAAGGAGAAGATGTCCTTGCAGAAGCCTCCATGCACAGTGTATGTGTAGCCCATCTGCCACTCCTCGCCGGTTCTCGTGTAAGGCTCAATGTCGAACCTGTCCACGGGAGCATAGACGTATCCATCCGTGCCCCCTGCCACTGCGCACCAGTAGGCATCCAACTTTTCGAAGGCGGCACCAGGGAGGGAAATTCCAACCCCATAAACACATATTCGCCGACCTTCCGGAGTGTTGGGTCCGGAAACGAGGCCATAAAGCTCGTCTTTGGACTTCTGATCCCCAGCGACCTGTCCAAACTGGAACTGCGCCGGGGCGGTCAAGACCCAAGCTTGCAAGACTAGGTCCTCCTCAGAGTCTGGTCGATAGGCGTAGCTGATACGGTCATGGCGAAACACAACTAGGCGGCCTGCTTGTGCTGGCAGAACTATCTGAGCGCCATCCTTTGGATAAAGCGACAGCTCGCCTCCACTGCCGTGTGCCATCAGGAACATGCACAGCTTTCGGCGCTTCAGGAAGTCGACATGTTCATCGACCAGGCCCTTTAGAATGTCTTCGTCGCTGATGTTCTCGGCCACACCCGCACCCTCTGAAGAGGCCGGCACACGCAGCATTCCGCTTGTCCGGCTGTGAGGCATGAAATCCAGCGCGAAGGGGGCAACGGGCAAGAGAAACTGTGTAAAGCGAGCAAGGTAGAGGTCCAGCAGGTCGATTGGACTGTCCTAGGTTAGAAGTAGCGCCCTTAAAGGAACGTTGCAGTCCAAGGCATGCTGAGCCCACCACCATCTCTTGCTTCTCTTCCACCATCTCTTCCAGCCAGGCCGTCTTGCACTTCCTGGAATGCAGTATCTGACGAAGGACGTTGAGATCATGCTGGGCGCAGCAATTTCGCAAGGAAACCAGCCCACTATCAAGTGGCTTACAACTGTGCTCAAGCAGAAGCACATGGTCATCTAATGTCAAAAACAGTAAGACACGAAGGCATCAGCAATAGCAGACATCACTATCAAAAGCAAGCAGCGCATGCAGCACTGCAAGCATTGATTTTCAAGTATCGCCACCACCACAGCAGCGCAGCAGCTGTACTGGTCGCAGGGTGGTGCTCGTGGTCGTGGTAATGATCGTGGGCATGGTCGTGGTCGTCGCGGCATTAATGTTGCTGCTGGGGATGGTGGTTGTGGGGCTCGTGGTCGTGGTGTTGGTAGTGGCGGCAGTGGCGTCAACATGATTGCCACCAGCATCTTCTTCTTCTTCATCAGCATCATCAACAGCATCATCATCACGAACAACAGTAACATCCTCAGCAGCAGCCGCAGCAGTGGCAATCTTCATGCCGATCAGCATCATATCGGACTATACCGGACTTAGCCAATGCCGTGCAAGCTGCTGATGTCTACCTAAGTAGGACGGCTCGAACTCCCTCCGGAGTCGCTTCCATCTGTACCTGGGATGGAAATTGGTACCGGCAACTGCGGTGGCCTGTTCATCTTGCATACCGTGCCGACCTTCCACAAGTGACCTCAACTTGCGCTTCTTCGGCCGCTTCTTCACCTTTGCGTTCAGCATGTGTCAAGAAAGATGCGACGGACAATTTAGTCAGATGATGCAGGGTTTGATGACTCCAAGGAAATTCATAATACCAGATCCAAAGACTGCAGAAAAGGCTAGCATAATTCGGGTTCAAAGCGGTAGTGCTTTAGGCTCTGCGCACCGGCGATGCCTGGGCCTTTTGACCCTGTGGTCCTCTAGCCAAGCCAGTCTCGCTAGCCGCTGATTTGCTGCAAAGCCCTTGATCCTTTCGATCTGAAGTGTTCAGATGGTCATCGCTGTACCGATGAAACCTACAGCGGTAGCTCAGCAACTCCCTGGGCCCAAGGCTCAAAGGAAGCTGGATCACACAGTAACCTTCCTGTGCCAATGCATCGACGGCCCGAGCCGTGAAGCTGCCAAGAGCCTCCATGTCGCCTTTGCTCGGAACGTGTTGAGCTTCGTGGGGACAAGAACGATCGTCTCCGAAACTCGGTCGCGGACCATCTGGAGGCCATGCAACATGGAAGCCTCCTCTTTCTGGGTGAGGCACATCCTGCAAACGGGATGCGTGCACTTGCACAAATGATGCCGAGAATTCTCGAGAACAGAGCCAAATGTGGGGAACGATGATCACAATCGCAGGCTTCAGCCCGCGTGACCGCATGACTGCGAGTTCCACTTAAGTAGCAGCACAGCCATGCTAACGCTTGCGCATACCATTCATGCAGACAGACATGAATTTTGCTAGGTACTCTCTCTTGCAATCGTACAAGCCACCGAGTGTAGGAGCCGGCTCCTGTGCTGCGGCCATCTGGCAACAGCTTGGCTATATGTTGGGTGGATTGGTGTTCTGCGTAGTCTGGGGCTAGGAATGCTGAGTTCTATGGTGAAGCCAAGGGCTCGACAGGTAGCGATGGTTTGGGCTTTGCAGGCTTTAGGCTGGTTGAGCCTCACGGATTCAGCTATCCACGCGCCAGGCTCAGAGCCATAATGGCTTTCCAGTCAGACAAGTTCTTGAACAGACCTGGCTCCGGCTCGGGCTGTAGCAGCTCGAAGAAAACATTGGGCCCCTTGCAGGTCATGTGGAACATGATCATCGACGTCTTTCCCGTCCTTCTAGCGAACAAGTCCGAGAATGCGATTTTAATCTTCTGGCACCTAGAAGCGAAGTCCTCTGCAAGCCAGGCGAACTCAACATCCTGCTCCTGAAATGCACTGGCTGAGTTGCGAGGACAACTAAGAAGTTCGTGTGAGACAAGGCAGAGATGGAGTGTCCTTTCGGACGGTGTCATGTAGTCTGCCTGCAGCTAACCTTGGGCTTGCAAAGATCCGCCTCTTCCCGTCAACAGCATCCACTTTGCGCAGTGGTGGACCAACCCGTAGTTTGAGCGAGTATCTACTCAGTGATTGCCAAGAGAAGAAGCGCCTACCAGCCCAACCAGCATTTCTGCTGACTAAAGATTTTACAATGCATCGGTTGAGCAGTGTGGCATGTGCAAAGACAGCCATGCAACAGAATATGTTGACCCGGACTTGCTCGAAACAATTCTCCAAGACTCAGATTCCGGCCGCTTCAGAAGCCACCGACACCTTTGCCGACATGATGATGCAACTGTTGGCCTCAGTGCAGCTTCCGAAACTGTGACTGCACGCAGCTGCTAGATGTCTGCTTGCGCCCTGTGACCCTAAGGCGGCAGCAACAGCATGTGCCTGTGCAACTGGGCCTTCATGGGGGCAGATACAGACAAGCGACAGAACACATGCTTCGCTGAAGATGCCTCTCGCAGCAGCCCTTCGAGGCCGGCCACCACAAAAGGAGACATGACCTCAATCTCAAGCCAAGAGCTGACGGAACACCCCCACATCATCGGGGGATCACGGATAGGTCGAACAATGTCGAACACATCCTTCTGAGAGAAATTCCCTTTGCCAGACTCTCCGCTCGTGATTGTGTCTGGCCACGCCTTGCTTCCATCTGACGCACAGTGCAGTGTTCATCCTCGGTTTTTGTGTCACACGTCCTTTGCCACATCCATGGGGTGGGAGCAAGGCTGGTTACATTCATTCCTGCCAAAAGCAGGAGGTCCCAGACTCTAAACCGTACGGCGGTTTTCCAAAATTGCAAATTGGGCGCTTTGATTTCGGGAGGTTGGCAAACCCGCCGAAACGTCATGCCACGTGCTGCCAGTACTGGACCAGGACGTTGTGGAAGAAGTGTATCGGTGATTTGGTAAGGTGCAAGTCCTTCAAATCGGAAACCCCGGTAGACTGCCTTCGTTTTTGATTTGACCGAGTACATCAACACTTCTTCTGCAGCTTCGGTTTGTAGGTGTACCTGTCTCTTGGCATGCTTCCTTAAATGGTCCAGTGCGCGACTGCAGCATCTGAGGCCACTACTGCACAAGAGGACATGTGAAAGCACATAGCGGCAAGCGGAGCCTGGGTTTGAAGGCCAGCGCAAGGGAAACGTTGTCACTTAGAAACTGCGATGCAAGAGGCAGTGCGGTCCATCATTGTCGAAGCATGACAAGAAGCCTGGCTGAGACTTGCAGCCGGAACTTCGGAATGCAGCGGTGCTTGCAGCGAGAGATGAAGCTGCGCTCAGCTAGAGGCTGGCAGCAGTGCCACTGCAGCTGACGCGATGCTATGCAGCACCTTTCAATTCTTCTTCGCAGCACGGCACCACAAGGTGAGCGATCGTAAGATTTCAATTTTACAGGTCATGGCCTGACGCAGTTCGACGGCCATTTGGCCGATACACACGCCAGCAACTGCTCCAAGCCTTCGAAAGCTTCGGACATGACCAGCTGTACTGCACACGGAAGCAGCTGAGGTATGAGCAAATTCAGCTCCATGCCATGGACCGTCAACGGGCTAAGCCTTGCTTGCACAGACATCGGACTTGGCTTGCAGAGAATTCGTGCTGAACAGAGTGCCACGCATCTCCTCTGGCTCTGGCCTGTACCTCGGGCAGATGCTACTCTTCTTGCTACTACGACATCGGTTGTCGGTTGCTCATGCCTCAGAAAGGTAGATTCTGCTGGCACTGATGCCATGTGTGTCATTGGCGCCGATGTCTCTATTATAACTGTTGTAACTCCCAGTGGTTGCTCTGACTATCATCCACAGCATTACGATCATCACCACCTACGCTAGTTTCTAAAACCATAGACTACTGATCGTCATACAGTGTTCTTGTAACCAATGACTAGAAGAATTCCTTACTCCTTCACTAATCATCACAGCAGGAAAAAGGACGTCTGCCTCGTCTGTTCCTCTGGCAGCAGAGGCTGAGGAGGCAGCTGAACCCATCGAAAAGGCGGCAGGTTCAGGCGGTTCGCGACCTTCATTGTGCACCGTCCGCAGCCCCACAGCCCCACATTCGAAAACATCATGCCCGTCATCACCGTCTTGTCAGGCACTACCATCTATGCGATGTTGAGGACCTATGAGGACCAACATAACCTCTACTGCAGGAAAGTTTAGTCTTAATCTTTTTCCTCCGGGTACTGAAGAACCTACTACTATGCTACCATTGGCACAAGAGTCTCCTTGCAACACAGAACACGCTGATGCAAAGAATGCCGCTTTTTGCTTGTTCTGCTCTCGCCTCAGACTCGCAGAAGCGAAGATGGAACCCGGGCTCGCAATCGCTCTTGTTGAAGAACTGTTTGTCTCCGATCGCTTCTGGGAGATATCCTTGGTTGCAGCCTCTTGTGTAACCTGCTGCTGGATTGTACACATAGCCGTCACCGTAGCCCAGCGTCCTGAGCACGAATCTCCGAATGCATCCGGAAATCAGGGAACTGAAAACTACATGCAGAACCTGCCATAAGAACCTACTCAGACAAACCGTCGGGCCGAATCCAAAACCTGTCAGCTTCATCATCTTCGTTGGTGCATTGCGAATGTGCAGCGGGACCGGCGCATGAGGCTCCCTCTCACACAACTTTTTGACGGTTTCATAGGCGTTGTAGACCGCGCAGCTTTTTGGTGCAAGTGCCAGGTATATCACGCACTGAGCAATCACAACTCCAGCTTCAGGCATTCCAATAGCATGAACTGCTTGATCGGCTGCGACCGCTTGACTCAGAGCCAAGGGATCTGCCATACCCACGTCTTCAGATGCAAAGCGAATGAGCCGGCGTGTGATGTAGCGCGGTTCCTCGCCTGCAGTTAGCATCCGTGTGGCATAATACAGCGAAGCATCTGGACACCCACCTCTCATGCTCTTGTGCAAAGCACTTATCAGATCGTAATGAAAATCCCCGTTGCGATCATAAAGAGCACGCTTTTGGATGGCTGCTTGAACAGCCTCGGAATCGATCGGCAAGCCTGACTTTGTCAGGTGAGCCGCAAGCTCCAACGAGTTCAGCGCCACGCGGGCATCACCGTCCGCTGCCGTGGCTAGAAGTTGACGTGCATCACCCGTGAGCGTGGTGCCCCCCAGCACAACATCTTCACGGATCGCCCGATCAATGACATGTCCCACGGCTTCCGGTGACAGCTTCCCGAACACGACTAAGCGACAGCGCGATAGAATTGCATTGTTAATCGAGAAGGACGGATTCTCAGTGGTGGCAGCAATCAGTGTAATTGTTCCTTTCTCGCAATCCAAGAGCAGAGCATCCTGCTGTGCTTTTGACCAGCGATGGAACTCGTCCACAAAGAGGATGGTTCCCAGCTTGCGCAACTTCAAGGTGCCAGCAGCTCTGTTCAATTCCTCACGCAACTCTGCGACACCAGCCTTCTGCAGCAGTCTTTAGAAGCTTAAAGATGGCAAGAAGCTTAACGATGGCAAGACTTACGAGATCTTACGAAGCCTTCGACATGAACTGTTTGGTAAGCAGCACTGCCTTGGCAGCAGACAGAGACCGAAATGCTCGTTTGGTTCCTGCTGCCACGCAGTGCGCAAAGGAGGTTTTGCCACAGCCAGGTGGGCCCCAGAGGATCAGGGAAGGCAAGTGATCTTCATGTACCGCCTGGCGCAAGACAGATCCCAAAGCATCCTCTTGGCCCAGCAGCTCCAGGATTCCCTTCGGGCGCATGCGCTCTGCCAGAGGGGTGGTCGCAGAACTCGCACATGCAGCCGTGGCTGGCTGTTCCGGCAACGAACCGATGGTGCTCGCAGGCTTCTGTTCGGAGTTCGCATCCTTCGAGTTGTCAGTCTTCGGGTACTTCTTTCTGGTCTCGAAGAAGCCGGGCAACGACGGTGCTGGTCTCTTCTGAGCCAGGTTGGCCCCTGTCGCCGCTGTGGCCTGATCGTAATGCAGGTTCAGTGCGACACCAACGTTGTTACCAGCTCTGTTTAGGAGCTTGTTCAGCTCAGCATCGTCCAATGTGTGGCCCAAGACGTCTCGCAAGGCAGCCAGCGCGCTGTCAGCATTCTCGTCGGCCATGTCTCGCATATCAACATCATCAGCTGCGAACCAAGACACGGCATGAACAGAACCACACACAAGGCCAAGGTTGTCTACACGTTTGCCGTCTTGAGCTTCAGACGTCCAAGACCAGCTTTGCCTGGCAATGCGACCCCGAAAACTCAGAAGCTCCGACAATGCCCAAACTATACACGCACGACGTATATCGCTGTCCTGAAAGAAAACTGACGGGAGGACATGGAAACCAGAGACCAAGACGGAGAAGGCTGGAGAAGGCAGCACCTGGCGGTCACTCTTCCAGCACAAACAAACGTTTGATCGGGTCGGGTTTGCCTCTGGATAGCTGCGAAGGCAAGCTGACCTCCAGTAGCGACATCTTTGGTCGAGCAAGCGCGGGCGTGGGCTGAGATTAGGCAGCAGCAATCTTCTCATCCAAGGGTGAACCCTCGGGGAGAGCAAGGCAATCATCACCTGGGGTCAGGTCGGATGATAACTACAAATGTAACAAAAAGAAAACGGATATAATAATAATATCAACAATGGTAATATTAGTAGCAATCATAATGAATTAATAGTAGTATTAGTAATAGCACCAAAAGTTTCTAGTTAGGCCTCAGGGCCCGATGTAGGGATAATTTCGGTTTAGGGGTTTGGATACGATTTGGTGGGGATACGATTGGCGTATTCTGCATTTCGGGAGATACGATTCAGATACGATTTGGATAGGGGGGGCGATACGCTTTCGTCCAGACGGAGTACGATTTCAATAGGGGTTTGGATAGGGATTTGGATAGGGGTTTGGATAGGGGTTTGGATAGGGGGGTCGGATAGGGGTTTGGATACGATTTCCTTCCATGTTGGCTCCTCTCCAGGGAAAAATGGGGGGTTGGATAGGGGTTTGGATAGAGAGCGGCCTGCCATGGGGCCTGGGTTCTTGCAACCCCACTATTTTGCTATATTATGCAGATATCAAATAGTCTGGGACTCCGGAGGACATAGTCGTCGTCGAAATACCTTGGATGCATCGAAGCCGCAAGGGAAGCATAAACAGCGTGCAGACAGTGCAGCAGCATTTTGCCCCACTCGTTCAGTCGACTGTGCATGAT